ACCTCCTCCGACGCCGTTGTCAGAAACGCTAAAGTCTCTGCCAACACCGCCGCTGACGCCCCTGCCCACGCCGCCACCGACGCCGCCGCCACCACCGCCACCAACGCCGCTTTCAGTACTATTTCTGCAGTTGCGAACACTGCAACTTACACCACTTCCAACCCCGCCGCCGACGCCGGTTCCAACACCCCCATCACCGCCAACACCTTTATCTTACATTTTCTCTCCATTCCTGCCAACAACGACAACACCGCTGAAGTCTCCGTTGTCAACATCGACTATGAAACGAGTGCCAAAATACACCTCAGTGCCAACGTCAACGAGGACATCATCACCTGTAGCGCACAAATTACCCACACCTCTTCCAACACTGCTGTCACCACGACTGACACCGCTGCCGAGACCGCGCCGACGTCAGCCACCGCCGCCACCGCCGCGAACATCGTCCCTGCCGTGCCACCAGTCCCAGCCGAGAGAGGCATCGCTGACAACATCGGCGGTGCCACACAGGGCGCTGCTGCCAACACGCAAGCGCCGGCAGCCCCCGGAGCCACCGCCGAGGACCATCTCTCTGCTCCGCCACCGAACTCAGACGAAGCTGCCAACAATGCCAACACCAGCAGCAGGACTACAACTGAGACCACTGCCAACACCACCAACACCCCAAATGACACCAAGGCCAACTCCAATAAGATTACAGCTGACACCATTGCCAACACGACCCAGACGACAGCCACCCAGGCCACCACCACGAACGACATCTCTACCGTGCCACCATTTCCAACGCGCGGGACAGGTATGTACAGAACCAAAACAACGAGACAACATACACTAGCCTTTCTTAAACAGAAAAAAAATAAAAAAAAGATAAAAAATGGAAAAAAAAAATTCTTGTCATGCACTACACCTGAAGATCCACCCGTGTCATGCAAAGTGAATGCTTGACAGTGTGTCATGCACCGTCAACACGCCCACTGATGGAGAAGAGAAAGGAATCGACAGAGGGAAGCATTGCACATTATTTACGAGCATTATGAAGAAACAGCAAGAGAAAGTCTCGCTACTAATGCATTGGCAGTTTTCCGGTCTGGCGATATCTGGCAGTTGAGGCCATGAATACTTCCGCAATTGCATAAACAGACTAGCTGGCAACTGCGCTTGGTCCTGCTCTCACCTGCTTGGCGTCTGAGTCAAGGCGCAGGTGGGGGGGGGGGGGAGGAATGCATTTAGGGAGAGGGGCGGGGTTGTGTTTGTGGGGGTGTGGTGGGATGGGTGTGGTGTGTGTGTGTGTGTGTGTGTGTGTGTGTGTGTGTGTGTGTGTGTGTGTGTGTGTGTGTGTGTGTGTGTGTGTGGGTGTGGGTGGGTGGGTGGTTGTAGACATGGATTCGCCTTTCATTTCATCTTTCTTTATTTGATTTTTAGATTTATTTTCTCTTTCTGTCTGTCTGTCTGTCTCTCTCTCTCTCTCTCTCTCTCTCTCTCTCTCTCTCTCTCTCTCTTCTCTCTCTCTCTCTCTCTCTCTCTCTCTCTCTCTCTCTCTCTCTCCTCTCCCTCTCTCTCTCTCTCTCTCCCTCCCTCTCTCCCTCCTCCCTCTCCCTCTTTTCCTTCTTTCCCTTCCCCTACCCTCTCATTCCCTCTTTTCCCCTTTTCCTCTCTCATACAATAAAGAAAAAAACAAATATCCAAAACAAAGAAGAAAGAACATTCCAGAATCACCACCGTTACATCACGCACCGTTAAGTAGCTTTAAAAAAATAGTTCATTTTTAAGCGAACGGAGTTTTACTGTTCATTGTTTTTAGGGAACGAGCGGTAACGGTCATTCGTCTTTGTTCCCCCATCGCGCGGGAAAATATATTTAAATATTCGAACATGAATTGGTTATTGCATTAATTTAGCAGCACATTATTTAATTATTGCATTTATTTAGTGGCACATTTTGTGATTATTGCATTAATGTATTAACAACGTTATTTTCTTTATTAATAATTGCATTTAAGTCCGTGGTATGTGACATTTGACGATCAGAGTTCGTTGTGATATTTGGAGCATTCGACGTCGCCTCGCTGGATGACGTCATGATATTTGATGATCCTGTTATTTGATGGAAAAGCGAACGAAAAACTAGTCATTCATATTTGAAAGAAAAGGGTAAAGTAACGATTGAAAGAGAGAGAGAGAGAGAAAGTGTGTGAGAGAGAGAGAGAGAGAGAGAGAGAGAGAGAGAGAGAGAGAGAGAGAGAGAGAGAGAGAGAGACAGACAGACAGACAGACAGACAGAGAGAGAGAGAGACAGAGAGACAGACAGACAGAGACAGAGAGGCAGAGACAGAGAACAGAAGAAAGAAGGAAGGTGATAAAACGACTGCCAGATCGTACACACTAAAAAAAAAAACTTAACAGGCAATATCTCCAGCGTGACTCCAGTGCCAAGAGTCACGGAGAAAGTCGAAATAAAAGGTCAAAGTTCACGACCAAGACACTGCTACTTATCCTGACTCTCCGCTGCGCCACTCCTGAAGCGGTGGCTGGAATACAGTCCCGTTTGTGTCCCATTTCCTGTTTTAATTTGTGTGTCCGTTGTCTTCCTTCTACGAATAGGTTATCTTTCATTATTGTTCTTCCTTTTTTTTTATATCATTATTTATTTATTAAATTATTATTTATTAAATTAAATTATTTTTTATTAAATTAAGTTATTAAATCTTTCGTGTTTGTTGTTCTTCCTTTTTTTTGTTATATTTCGGTATGATTTTATCTTCGTTTCTCCCCATTGTTTGTGTCTCATTTTTTTTAATGTGTGTGTTGTTTCGTTTCTTTTAATATATCCTTTCTTTAATTTTTTTTTTTTGTGTTTATTTTTGACGTCTTGTTATCTCGATTCGATATGATTTTTTGTCTCTTTTGATTCCTTTTTTTTTTTTTTTTTTACCTCTTCCTGTTATCTCATTTCGATATTAATTTTCATCTTTCCCGATTCCCGTTTGTTTCTTATTCCTCTTTTATTGTGTATGTTTCCCTTTCTTTACTTGTATGATCTTACGTGTGTTTTATCCGTTCTCTCCTCCTATTATCTCATTTCGCTATGATCTTCCTCTTCGTCTCTTCCCATTCACGAATAATTGCAACAGCGAAGCAAATCACGCTAATAACACAGGCCCTTCAACCTCCGCAATGAAGGAGACCGTTAACCTTTGACCTCTGACCTCTGACCCTTCCTCCCCCAGGATGGAGACGGCGCGCGCCCTCCTGCTGCTGGCGGCGACGGCGCTGGGGCTGACGGCGGCGCAGAGGCTCAACCGGCCGCCAGAATTCCTTCCCGGAGGAGACATGGACCGGTTCTCACTAAGGAGGGAGAGAAGGGGAGGAGGGAGGAGGGAGAGGAGAGGGGGAGGGAGGAGGAGAGGGAGGAGGAGAGGAGGGAGGGAGAGGAGGAGGAGGGAAGGAGGGGGGGAGGAGGAGGGAGGAAGGAGAGGAGAGGAGGGAGGAGGGAGGGAGGAGAGGGGGAGAGGAGGGAGGAGGGAGGAGAGGGAGGAGGAGGGAAGGAGGGAGGAGGAGAAGAGGGAGGAGGAGGAGGAGGAGGAGGAGGGAGGAGAGGAGGAGAGGGGAGAGAGAGAGAGAGAGAGAGAGAGAGAGAGAGAGAGAGAGAGAGAGAGAGAGAAAGAGAGAGAGAGAGAGTGAAAGAGGAGAGAGAGAGCGAGTTGTTTTTATTGTTCGTTATTGATAAGAGGCTGTGGTTTTATATCGATGTTTTATTGAGATTTGACTGAAAGCTTTAAAAAATACATATATGAATAGAAAAATTATTGAATAAATAGAAATAGAAAGTAAAAGAAAAACGGTGGAGATAAGTAATGTAGAAATTTTCCTCGCGGCTCGATTCATTTGCATAAACCCACAAACACGCAAAGAACTTAAAATTATTATTTTTCATTATACATTCCATTCCGATAAATTTCCATCGAAAATGAAGATTTCTATTAACAATTCCTTTTCTCTTCCTTTCTTCTTCCTCATACATTCCGTTTTCCTATTTATTCCGTCCCGTTAGAGAGGACGCGGCGGTGGGGTCGTCCGTGTACACCCTGCGAGGTCGTGACCCCGAAGGCACGGCGGTCTCGTTCACTGTGTCAGGAGACCACCTCAGCGTCGACAGGGACTCGGGCGTCGTGACACTGGTCCGCGCACTCGACCGAGAGACCACGCCCATGATCGAGGTCATCATTACGATAACAGGTGAGAAAGGGGGAGAGTGATAAAGCTGGGGAGAATGACGAGACGAGGAGGGAAAGGGAATGGCAAAAGTGAGTTATTTGCCAGTGCCGTTAGGTCGGGTGTCATTCTGTGTCACTTGTGTCAAGCAGGTGACGCAGCATGACTCCGTATATGATAAGTGGCAATATTGAAAGAATAATAGATATAGTCGTCCTACACATATTGCAATAAACAGACATAAACAAACATACAGTAACTCATTCATAACACTAAATGCAATAAATGAAAAAGTAAATAAATAAATAATTGAATACATAAAAAAGAAATAAACACCTACCATTCACACAACCTCTCCCCACCCACCCCCAACCCCCCACCACACCAAACCCCCCTCAACTAACCCTCTCCAACCCACCCTCCCTCCCTCCCTCCCCTCCAGACGAGCGCGTGTTCGGGGACGAGCCCAACACCGTGCCCCTCCGGCGTGAGATCCCCGTCCTCGACGTGAACGACAACCGACCGCAGTTCCACGACACGCCCTACAGCTTCGGGGTCCTGGAGTCGGCCTCTCCCGGCGCCACGCTCTTCTCGCAGATCAGGGTCTCCGACGCCGACGAGGCCAAGAACGCGGATGTGAAGCTCGAGTGCGTCAGGAGGAGGTAGGGAGGAGAGGAAGAGGGATGAGGAGAGGGAAAGAGGGAGGAAGGAGGGAGAGAGAGGAGAAAGAGGAAGATGGAGGGAAGGATGGATGGAAGGAAGGAAAGAAGGAGGGAAGGAGATAAGAACGCGGATGTGAAGCTCGAGTGCGTCAGGGAGGAGGTAAGGATGGAGGGAGAGGGAAAGAGGGGAGAGAGAAGGAGGAAGAGGAAAGAGGGAGGAAGGGAGGGAGAGAAGGAAAAGAGGAAGAGGAGGGAGAGGGAAAGAGGGAGGAAGGGAGGGAGAGAGAAGGAGAAAGTGGGAGGAGGAGGATGAAGGAAGGAAGGAGGTGAAGGATATAAGAACGCGGATGGAAACTCGAAGTCAGGAGGAGGTAAGGATGGAGGGAGACGGGAAGAGGGAGAAGAGAAGAGAAAGGGAGAGAGAGAGGGAGAAAGAAGGAAGGATGGAGGAGAGGAGGGATGGAGAAGGAAAGGAGGGAAGGACATAAGAACGCGGATGTGAAACTCGAGTGTGGAGGAGGTAAGGATGGAGGAGAGAGAGAGTGAAAAGAGGGAGAGAGAGAGTGAAAGAAAAAGAGAGAGTGAAAGAAGAGAGAGAGAGAGTGAAAGAGGAGAGAGAGAGTGAAAAGGGGAGAGAGAGTGAAAGAAGAAGAGTAGAGAGTGAAAGAGGAGATGAGAGAGATAGAGAGTGAGAAGAAGGAGAGAGAGTGAAAGAAGGAGGAGAGAGTGAAAGAGAGAGAGAGTGAAAGAGGGAGAGAGAGTGAAAGAGAGGAGAGAGAGTAGAGGGAGAGAGAGAGTGAAAGAGGGAAAAGAGAGAGTGAAAGGTGGAGGGAAAGAGAAGAGAAAGAGGAAGAAGAGAAGAGAGAGAGAGAGAGAAGAGAGAGAAGAGAGAGAGAGAGAGAGAGAGAGAGAGAGAGAGAGAGAAGGAAAGAAAGAACGACATTACGTAATCCCTTTTACCTGCGGACCCGTAACACACCATAGCAATTAGTGCATGATTTACCTTGATCTCTTCCACACCATGACACGCATGATGAACTATATTTTCATGATATCGTGTAAAAGGAATTTCCCAACGCTCCATGCAAAATATAGAGGAATATGATTAAAATAATTAACCAATTAGATAAGTGATTGATTGAAAAAAAATATGAATGTGTAGATACATGAATAACCAGTTAAAAAGACAAACAAACAAATTCATATAAATAGAGGAATAGAGAGATCAATAAAAATAAATAAATGAAATGAATAGATAAATAAATAAATAAACAAATGCTAAACAAAGGAGCCATAATTCCCGCCCTATCCACCACCCACTCTCTCACCCCACGCCCATCCCCAGACTCCGCGGGCGTGCGCCAAGTTCGAGGTCCGGGAGGCGCGGGTGGAGGAGGGCAAGTACGTGGGCATCATCTCCCTCAAGGAACTACTCGACTACGAGACGGAGCGCCAGTACACCATGGCGGTAAGTGGGGCCTTTGGCTGGTTGGGTACGTTTTTTTTCTTCTTCTTCTTCTTCTTTTTGCGGAGTCTTTTTTTCCCCTTCATTCTTTGTTTATTCTTTTTATTTTTTATTTATTTATTTATTTATTATTTTTATTTTTTATTTTTTTTTTGCGGAGTCTTTTCTTCTGTATCTTTTTTCTTCTTCTTTGCTTTCTTTCTTCTTGTTCGTCTTCCTGTTTACCTTTTTAACCCTCCCGCATCTGCTCTTTCTTCTTCCTCCGCCGTCGATTTTCCCTCCTCTGCCTCCCCTTCCCCCCTCCTTCAACTCTTTTGCCCTCCCCCTTTCTCCTCTTCCTCCGCCTTCTAACCTTCTTCTTCTTCTTCCCCCTCCTCTCCCCCTCCATACCCCTCCTCTATCCTTACCCCCTTCTAACCCCTCTTCCTCTTCCTCTTTCCCCTTCTAACCCCTCTTCCTCCTTCTCCTCTCCCTTCCCCTCCCGTTTCCTCCTCCATCCTCTCCCCCTTCCCCTTCCTTCTCTATCCTCACCCTCTTATCCTCCCCTCCCCATTCCTCCTTCAACCTCTCCTCTCCCCCTTCTAACCATCTTCTTCCTCCTCTTCCCCCTTCCCCCTTCCACCTTCCTTCTCCATCCTCTCCCCCTTCCCCTCCTCCCTTCCTCCTTCAACCTCTATCCCTCCCACCTTCTTCCTCCAACCTCTCTCCTTTCTAACCCCTCTTCTTCCTCCTTCTAAGCCCTCTCCTCATCCCTCTCCCCCCTTTCTAACCCCTCTTCCTCCTCCTCCCTTCTTCCTTCCTTCTCCATCCTCTCCTCCCTTCCTCCTCCAACCTCTCCCCCTCCCCCCTTCCTCCTTCTCCCTCTCCCCCTTCTAACCCCTCTTCCTCCTCCCCCTTCTTCTAACCCCTCTTCCTCCTCCCCCTCCCCCTTCTTCTAACCCCTCTTCTTCCTCCTCCTCCTCCTCCAGGTACGAGCGTCAGACAGCGGGACGGAGAAGCGCCTGAGTTCGACGTCGACGGTGGTGATCGAGGTGAGGGACGTGCAGGACCAGCCGCCGGTCTTCCTCAATGCCCCCTTCAGCGCCACCGTCAGGGAGGCCAGTGAGCCTGTGAGTGTTGTGTTGTTATTGTTGTTGTTGATGCTGTTAGAGTTATTGTTTGTGGTTGGTATTGTTATCTTCATCTTCACATTATCATCATCACCATTATCATTATCATTACCACCACCATCATCATCACTATTATCATCATCATCACCATCATTATCATTATCATCATTAGTAGTAGTATCGCCTCTGTCATTGTTATTGTTATTATCTTCATGATTACAAGTAAAAGTAGACCTATAAACTTCAACTTTCGTATCACCACAGTAATCAGCACCACATATCCTTTCGAAAATATAAATAGATGAAAAAAGGAATACAATTGTTATACATTATTGTTATACATGTATTGTTATGCATTATCCCCGCCCACTAATACCCCCTCCACCCTCTCCCTCTCCCTCCCCCTCCTCCGCGTCCTCTCCCCAGGGCACGCCCGTCCTCGAGATCAAAGCACGTGACGGCGACCTCGGCGAGCCCCGCCCCCTCACCCTCACCCTGCAGGACGATGACTCCGGCTACTTCACCCTGGCTGACATCCGCACCCTTCCCGACGGCTCCCTGATCGCCACCCTTGCCACCTCTGACGTCACCCTGGATCGAGAGGACCCGCTGATCCTCAACAATGGCGGCCTGTACACCTTCAGCGTGAGGGTGAGTTCGGCCGTTTTCTGTCGTTCTGAGTTGGATTGTGTATATCGAGGTTATTATTTGTATTGTTATTGTTGGTATTGTGAAGGTTATTTATGATCTTCGTGGTTTTTTATTGGTGTTATTGAATCTTATGCGCTGTAACGTCAATAACAATGCACTACTGAGACGTCGAAAATAAAAAAACACTAAACACACCATAAACAAACCAGAAAAAAAATAAATAAAGAAAAAAAAAATAAACAAACGAATAATCAAACTGCAAATAACACACACTTCAAAAAGCAACACAAACGGACAGATGAATAACGGTTTGCGCACCCCCCCTCCCCCCCCCCCCCCACAGGCGCAGGAGGAGGGCGGGCAGGCGGCAGTGTCTCTCGTGACGGTGGTCGTGACGGACGTCGCCGACCAGCCGCCGCTCTTCAGTGAGGCCGAGATCGCTGTGACCGTTCCTGAGGATATCTGTAAGCTTTTTTTTTTTAATGATTCATTTGATCATTTATTTGTCGACTTAATTACAGATTTGGTTGTTCATTAAAACTGCAAGGAAGATGATTATAAGACCTGAAATATTTAATCCCCACCTAACTCCCCAAGACCTAAAATATTTATTCCCCACCTAACTTTCCTAAGACCTAAAATATCTATTCCCCACCTAACTTACCCAAGACCTTAAATATTTAATCCCCACCTAACTTTTCTTAGACCTTAAATATTTAATCCCTACCTAACTTTCCCAAGACCTAAAATATCTATTCCCCACCTTTTCTGACCTAAAATATATATCCCCCACCCAATTTTTTAAACATCATGAACACTCCATTCCCCCCCCCCGAACATCCCCCTTCCCTCCTTCTCTACCCCCCCCCCCGCCTCCACTCCCCCTCACCCCCCTTCCTCCTCCTCCAGCCGACGGGACGCCCCTGCCCGGACTCAACCTCGTGGTGACCGACAAGGACGTGGGCGAGAACGCGAGATTCAGCCTCGCCCTCGAAGACATCTTTGGCTCCCGCGGCGTCTTCTCCATCTTCCCGGAATCGGCTGTCGGGAGGACTCCGGTCATCATCAAGGTGGCCGACTCCTCCAGGCTCGACTTCGAGAACTCCGACGCCTCGCAGTTCCTCTTCAAAGGTGGGGGTCGTTGGGGGTCGTTGGAGGGGGGGGGGGGGGGGGGTCGTTGGGGGGGGGCGGGGGGCTGGGGTGTTGGATTTTGTGGGGTTGTGTGTGTGTAGGTCTGTGTGTGTCTGTATGTGTGTTTATGTGTGTGGGTTTTTATGTTTATGTGTGTTTGTATGTCTATGTGTGTGTTTGTATGTTTACGTGTGTGTGTGTGTGTGTATGTTTATGTGTTTGTATGTTTATGTGTGTGATTTTATATATTTTGTGTTCACGTGATTGTGATTGTGCTTGTGTTCAGTTAGGTATGTATGTGTTTATTTGTGCATGTGTTTTATATGTGCATGTATGTGTCTTTATATGTGTATGTCTTTGTATGTATACAAACGCATATTTCTGCATGTTTATAAACTGGCAAGTGATTATTAATATGTACCTATTTGTATTTGCATTCATAACCACAGAAATACCACACATAATTCCCGAAATACCCCACCCCCTTCACAACAACAACAACAAAAAAAATAATAATAAAAATAAAGAAAATAATAATAATCATCACCATCCAACCACCATGAAATAACCCCGCAATACCCACGAAATAACCGACCGCCCACTTGCAGTCGTGGCGAGCGAGGGCGGCGTGCCCGTCTCCTCCGCCGTCGTCAACGTGACTGTGAGCGACGCCAACGACAACGCGCCAGAATTCCGCCAGCCCTCCTACAGGTCGGTGTCGGGTCCTCTCGTGTTTTTGGAGGGAGGTAGAGAGGCTTTTTAAAACGTTAT